ACACACACACACACACACACACACACACACACACACACACACACACACACGCATACACACACATACACACACACACACCCTTCGCTCTCTGCAGGCGGTGAATGAGGGCGTGGTTGCCATGATCGGGGGTATCACCTCCACGTGTGCCGTGGCGGTGGCGGAGGTTGCTGCGACCCGCGGTGTTCTCCACTTCACCGTCTCCTCATCCACAGACCTTGAGCAGCCAGCGTCATTTGTGAACACGTTTCGGCTCGGCGCACAGACTGACGATTACGCGGACGCGCTTGCACAGTTCCTGCACGCTGCAAACATCACCTGCGTCAGCATCTTGTGCGATTCGATGTCCGTCACACACAGGTATTCACTTGTGTACCCTCGGTGCGCTTGCGTGGTGCATGTATGTGTGGTTGTGCGTGAGTGTGTGTATGTGTGTGCGTGCGTGGGTGTGTACGCATTGCAATCAACTGTATGCACTCGCGCAAGCTGTTGTTGATCGAATATTCTGTTGCTGTATTTGTCTCCTCCGTTTCTCTCTTGTTGGGCCGCAGACTAATGACATATCCCCTTCTGCACAATGATACACACATACACACACACACACACACACACACACACACACACACACACACACACACACGTGCAACTCGCATTCATGACAGGAACGAGGTGAATGCGTTTCTGGCGCGGCTTGAAGAGTTTGGTATCCGCATGTTGACGCTGACAGACATTGCCACGACGGCGAGCCGCAATAGTTCATATTGGGCAGAAACCCTCTCGTACATCCGCACGCACGGCGCAAACACAATTGCACTCTTCTTGTACGTCGCTGGCTGCGTGTAAACCTGTGCATGTGGTGTCAACACGTGTGTATGTCGCATTATCTTCAGTTGCGTGTGTGGGTGTTGTGTGGTGTGTGTGCATGCGCAACAACTGCACTCGTTTCTGTAGGTCTGTCAGCCTTGCTTTGATGTGCATGCGTGACAACTGCACCCGTGTCTGAAGGTCTGTTAGCCTTGCTTTAATGTGCATGCACTCGATGCCTGTCATCTCACCCCGCTGATTGCTGTCTCCCCGTGTGTGTTTAAGGTTCCCGCTGGATGCGCACACGGCGCTGTTTGAGGCATCCAAGCACGAGATGGGCGGTGAAGACACGCTGTGGGTCGCGAGCAACATCGCCACCGCCACCGACGTGTTCTCCGATGACGTGAAGCGGCAGTTCAACGGGCGATTTGTGGGGGTTCGCGCAGGCCTGCAGCCCAACTTCACAGACCACCCGTTCTTCTCCTTTCCCTCAGCGAGCGGCCACCAAACGTTTTCGGACGTCCTCCCCACCCGTCTTCCCGTCACCCTCGCCGTTGATGCCGTGCACATCATCTACTGGACCGCATACCACGGCAGATCCATGCACAAGTATGCTTGTGTGTGTGTGCATTTGTGTGTGTGTGTGTGTGTGTGTGTGTGTGTGTGTGTGTGTGTCTTAGTTTGTGTGTGTGTGTGTGTGTGCGTGCCTGTGTTTGCACCTGTGTGTTTGCACCTGTGTGTTTGCACCTGTGTGTTTGCACCTGTGTGTTTGCACCTGTGTGTTTGCACCTGTGTGTTTGCATGTGTATACACACGTGATTGTGTACTCAGTTCAACGTACACGCTGCATGTTCCTACTCCATGCAAGCTCTGATGTGTATGTGCTAAATGTGACCTGGTTCGCGCAACTCATCTTGCCCCTCCCCCACTTACACACGCATACACACGACCCCACACACGTGCGCTTCCAACTGCTGCGCAGGTTCAGCTCTGGTCCTAAAGTGCAGCGCCGTGTGATGATTGACTTGGCGCGCTCGCTGACGGAAGACAACAGCATCCCTGGCTTTGCCGTGGAGAAGCTGTGGTTTGACCACGACTTAGAGATGTCCATTGGTGTTGATGTGGTGGTGCTCATCAACAAAATGCTGCAGCCACTTTTCTATTTCAAGGAGCACGTGCTCACGGTTGCGAACACAGCGCTCGGTGCTGACGTCGCGAGTGCCATGCACGTCCTGCCGTCACCGTCATGCATGGTCCGCACAACAACACGTGTGCCCTTGGACTCTGCCAGCCCGTCCAACTCTGCCTCCAGCGCCGTTGTCGCCTCCATTACACTCAGCATCCTGCTCGCCATGGGCATTGTTGGCATTTTCATCTACAACCGCCGAAAGCCGTCGTCTAGGATTGAACCGTTTGACTTTGCTCCGCTCCTCGCCGCCTGGCCGCAGCACCACGACAAGCCAACCGAGATCCCGAGGTGTGTGTGTGTGTGTGTGTGTGTGGTTTGGTTTATGTGGTTGTTTGTGCGCGCTTGCGTGTGTGAATGTGTTTTGGTTCTGTTCTGTTCGTTTGCATTGCATGTCGCTGCCTTCGATGGTGTGTATGGTTGCTGTGCTCTCCTGTTTGGCTTGCTTTCTGCTCGTTGTTGTCTTGTTGCCTCCACCACCCGTCCTCTCCCTCCTCCGCACCAGTGTTGTCACTCACACGCCACTGACATGCCTTTGGTTTCTCCCGTAGGAAACTCGTGGAGAGCCAGGAGTGCTTGAGCCAGGGCGCGTTTGGTGTTGTCTATCGTGGCCGCCTTGTTGACGCCCCAACTGGCTTCTTGCGGCACATTGGACTGTCGCGCTCACACCTTGGGCCCTTTGCCAAGAGCAGCACCAGGCACCGCAGCCACCGCAGCAGTAGGAGAAGTCACGGCAGCAAGAGGGCGAGTCGAGGTGGCAGCAGGCGTTCAACGCAACAGCAAGCTGCTCGCAGTACGGACCAGGGCAGAAGCAACGCCAACGCCAACGCCAACGAAAACGCAACAGCAGTCCGCAGCACGCACATCAGCACGCCCATCACCGCGGCCGCCACCAGCCACGGTCATGAGGACAACAACGACAGCAACAGCCTGTTTGGAAGGAGCGTGCATAATCCGCGCCACAGCAGTCACCCCTCCACCAGTAATGCAACTGACAGCGGTAACGTGTCGGCAGGTCAAAGCTGCAGTCGGAAGCAGCGAGGCTTTCGACGCGAGATCCCCATTGCTATCAAGCAGTGCAAGTTCATTCTCAACGCCAAAGACACGTCACTGCTCATGGCGGAGGCATTGCATCTTCAGGCGCTGTCAGACTCTCCATATGTTGTGCAGCTGATTGGGGTCCTCACCACGACGGAGCAGCCGGCACTTGTGCTTGAGTACTGCGAGCATGGCAGCTTGGACGCCTTTCTCCGTTCGCGTTGCCTGCGCGGCGCTTCTGTGTCGTGGCGAATCAAGGCGCGCATGCTCTCGCACGTTGCACGTGGCCTCCATGCCGTCCACGAGCGAAACATCATCCACGGCGACATTGCATGTCGCAACGTTCTCATCAACTCAAACTTCGTCTGCAAGATCTGGTGTGTGTGCGTGTGTGTGTGTGTGCGTGCGTATGTGTGTGTGCGTGCGTGTGTGTGTACACATGTGCTTGCTTTTGTGGAAGTGAACTTGCCTAGCTCGCTATTTTGCATGCGTGTATGTGTACGGCTTTCGTTCGTCTTGGTGGCATCCACTCACGCTACCACCACCACCACCACCACCACCATCATCACCATCATCATCATCATCATCATCATCATCATCATCATCATCATCATCATCATCATCATCATCATCATCATCATCATCATCATCATCATCACCATCACCATCTACAGCGACTTTGGATGTGCGCTTGCTGGTCCCATTCACCACATTGGCCCACACTCTGTTCCCAACGTTCCATTGCGGTGGACAGCGCCTGAAGTCGTGCGGGATTCCGTGTACTCTTTTCTCAGCGACGTGTGGTGCGTGCTGCGTACCGTGGCTGTTGCGCGCATCGTTTTTCCTTGCTTCTTGTGCGTGTGTGTGCTGTGTGTGGGCGTGTTGTGTGTGGTCCTCGTTTCATGAAGCCCACCCTGCGATACGGCTGCTTCTTGCGCGCACGACGTCTTGTCTACAAGCGAACAACCAATTCCAGCAGCCGCTCGTGCTGCTGCGCGTGCTCACATGTGCTTGCCCCTTCTCCTGGACATGCAGGTCGTTTGGCATTCTCGCATGGGAGATGGCGTCTAACGTGATGGTGTTTCCATACCACAACCTCAGCACCAACCGCGAAGTCATTCGAGCCATTTTCCACGGCCGCACACTCAAGATCAACAACTGTAAGCTGGCGCCGCCACAGGCCAGATCATGTGCTTTGGGGGGGGGGGCAGCGCAGCTTCGGTGTTTTGAAGTCCAGGCTGTTGCGTTGAAGGTTGCATCGCACTTCACTCGCACATATGCAGCGCAACCACGCATGTATTGCACACCTCCATCCACATGCGCTGCACGTGCCTTGCATATGACCGCACCTCACCACCACCACCACCACCACCACCACCACCACCACCACCACCACCATCACCACCACAATCACCATCACCATCACCACCATGATCATTGTAGCTTGGCCGGAAGCGCTGCAGCACATTCTCCGCCAGTGCTGGCTGCCCGTAGCAGAGCGACCAACCATGACGACGCTCGTTACAGATGCGTATGCATTTCGCCAGTGGACGCGCTCGTCCGAGCTTGAGATTCGCGGCCTTGCTGCCGACGTATCGGTGAGTCTGCGCAACAGCCCGTCGTCATCGCACACGGCTACCGGTGGGCGTGTGTCTGCCACCAGCTGCGTCTGCCCGCCAGACACGCGCGCAGAGCTCCGGGGTGACTGCGACTATGAATCGAGCGACGACGAGGTGGAGTGCATCTGGCAGCAGCATGCGGCACGGCACACCATCACTGTGGATGTGTCTCAGATCCTGGAGCGGGAGCCGTCGGGGTCACACCGCTCCAACATCAACCAAATTGTGTCCAAGCACGAGTCTGCCTCGACAATACGGCGGGGACGCACGGCAGCACCCGACATTGATGTGGAGCAAGGGCGCTTTGCCCGTGACGCGTACACACGCCTGGATGTGAGCCACGCAAACCAGCTTGAGAATCTTGTGCAAGGATTTGGCACAAGAGGACAGGACCTGTCTCAGCCGGAGTACTGTGGACTGCTGTCACGCTCTCATCCACCATGTCGCAGCAGCAGCGGCGGCGGCGGCGGTGGTGGTGGTGTTAACAGGAACAGTATTGCTGTTGAACGCACCCTCCCCTTCTTCAGCGACAGCTACAATGACGAGGACGATGACGACGACGTTGATCGCGACACTGCCCGAGGTCAGTACTTCCGACACCACAAGTCTCGCGCCAACGGTGGCGAGACGCTTCGTGTTGGTGGCGCGGATGGGAACCATGTCATTGACGATGACGATGAGCGGAAACGTCTTCGCGGTGGCGGCCATCGTGGTCGTGTTGTGCGGCCCCACTTTGATGGTGGTTATGACGCCAGCCAGGCTCGTCTCGCCCACACGCTCCGTCGGCCTTCAAGCAGCAACGTGCACTTGGTGCACACGACGCGTGCGCGCATGACTGCGTCTGACGCCGTTGATGCCGACCACACCCATCCACGCAGGGCGTCAACCCCACGAAACAGCGACACGGACAGCAACACGAGCAGTGCGCGCGCTTCCTTGCGGCGGCACTTGAGGCGAACGGCGAGCGACACGCTGGTGGCGGGCGCATTTGCACACCCGCAATCCACAGCAGCTGCACCAAGCACACACACCGCGGCAACAGCAAGCATTGTTGGCAGAGCTGCAGCACCCACCACCACAGTATCACAAGCGAGTGCACCGCCCACGACCGCCACAGCGGCGGAGGTGGCAGCGGCAAGAACGGCGACGGACGGAAATGTGCGACAGAGGAGACGACGCAAGCGGCGCGCGCTCGGTTCGACTGGCGGGCGCATGCGTGGTGGTAGCAGCGAAGGTGATGAAGGTGGTGGTGGTGGAGGTGGAGGAGGTGGTGGTGGAGGTGGAGGAGGTGGAGGTGGTGGTGGAAGTAGGCATCGTCCATTTGAAGACCATCAACATCGATCGAGCAACACGATAAATGATGATGACGACGACGGCAACGAGGGTGGTGATGATGATGGGAGTGATCATCGTCATGACAGTGATGCGCGTCAGCGGTGGTTACAGACGTTGATGCGTCGCGATGACGTGATTACAGTTCCTGACGATGAAGGAGCGAGGACGACGGGCAACTGGTACTTCCTTGAGCACGGCGCGCATCCATACGGCTTCCACCAGCACTCGCCTCGCCACAGCCGCGGTGGCAGTGGTGACGACGACGACGACGACGACGACGACAATGATGATGATGATAATGATGATGATGATGATGGTGAAGGGTTTGGACTCCGGCGCACTGGCGTTGTGCATCTGGACACGCATTCCATCGCGTCAAGCACAGCCGAGAGCCGGACGTCAGTGGTGTAATTGTGAATATGTTTGCTGTGTGCATGTCTATCAGGAAGTGAGTTTATGAGCGCGCGCGTGTGTGTGTGAGTGAGTGAGAGAGAGTGTGTGAGCGTGTGTGTGTGTGTGTGTGTGTGTGTGTGTGTTTTGTTTGGGGGGGGGGGTTGTGAACGCTTCTCCTTTGGCGTACGCAACATCAGCCTACCCCCAAAAGATTGTGTCGGTTCTGTGAACACAATGTAATGACATGTGTGCCGTTGTGACATGTTGTGACGTTTATTTCTTTGAGTGACAGACGTCTTGACCAGCAGGAGCTCCACTTTCATCTTATTGGCCCTTCTTACAAGGGGTTTGCACGGCTAAGACAGACAGGGCAGTCACAAGTGCGCCTCTCGTTAATAAACAAACGGCTACAATGCACAACACTACTCGCTGGTTGTTTACAACCTAGTTGACGGCGCTCAGAGGCGACACACACACACACACACACACACACACACACACACACACACACACACACACACACAAATTCACGTGCACAGCATTCACGCCGCCGGCTTCTCCAGACTCCAACCACACGCTTCGCCAGCCTGTGTGGGCGTGGTGGTGGTGGTGATGATGATGATGATGATGATGACAGCATAAAACAGAGAAAATGGTCGGGAACACAGAACACCTCCAATCACACACATTAGCACCGCAATGTACGAATGCAGAGGCATGCACAGATTGTGTATTCATTTATTTACCTGAAGGAAGTCGAGTGTGTACCCTGGTGGGACATTGTGTTTGTTGGACGGCGTCCGCACGTCTTGATCCACCTCCTTTCGCAGTACAGTGTCCACATCAACAGCAGAGAAGAACGCCACCCCCTGTGGTGTATGTGTGTGTGCGTGTGTGTGTGTGAGGGCGTGGGCATGTTGAGTGAGCCACGAGCGCAACAGTTACAACCCATCATTCGCATGTTTCACCACAGGCCGTGTCCAAACATACCTGGGGCAGATCCCACATGTCAATGGACGCCGCAAACGCTGCGCGTGTGTACAAATTCGTCAAGTGAAGCGCAAACGCAAACCTGTCACGTCAACATGAAAAAAAAAATTGAACGGGCGAGGTTGTTCTTGGGTGAGACAAAATGCCGGCATTCAGTGCTCACAGGGACAACAGCTACATTCTTCGTCTTGCTTGCTTGCAGGCAACTGTTCAAAGCGAATGAATATGAGAGGACCAAACAAGATGAAACGATCATGTCCCCGACGCACGCACCTGGCCACATCTTCATCTGCAACAATGTATCGAACTTCGTCGTGGATGGTGATGCACAGCCGCGCCTGGTTGTTGTTGTTGTTGTTGTTGTTGTTGTTGTGAATTTGGTGTGCCAGGACAAGGTGCGTGAGGTCAAAAGGTGAATACACACACACACACGCACACGCACACATACATACATACGTACATACGTACATACATACATACATACATACATACATACATACATACATACATACATACATACATACATACATACATACATACATACATACATACACACACACAACCACGCAACCGCATGTCATTAACCGCACACATCGAAGGGTACCTTCATGTCGTATTGTGTGATAAAATACTTCATTGAGACGAGCATGAGGTGCAAATAGTCAACAGCGGAGGACTGCACCACCCAGTTGATTCGCGTTGGCAGATAATCCTGACACACCCGAGGCAGACAAGGTGAGGAGGTGCGACAAGAATGAGTGTACGGACGTGTGCTCATGTGTTTTGGTGTGCACAAGTGCACATTAGTGCATGTCTGTGTACATCTGTGTGGTAGTGTGGCAGCATCACAAAAGCGTGCGTCATGTAATATGTGGTCACGGGGGAATACAATGATGGACACAAACCACATGCAACAGCAAGTCAATCGCAGCCAGGAATACGAGTCATGTTCGCACCGTTGCCTTCTTTCGTCCTTTCTTTGCCAGGTATCGTGGCTGCAACCCCGCTGTCAGCCGAAAGCCAAGGAACGGTGTTTTTGGGACCTTGCGGTTTGCAATCTCTTCAAGCTGGTTGAACATCTCGCTCTCGCTCCCGCCTGTTGTGCATTGTGCGTGCGTGCGTGCGTGTGTGCGTTTGTGCGTTTGTGTGTGTGTGTGTGTGTGTATGTGTGTTGATGAGGAGAATGGCGGTGGTTGCAAGCAAGAGCAACAGATAGTCAAGCAGGAGCCAGCAAAGGAGCCTGGCACTCACCGCTGTATCCAAGGCTGGTCATCTGACCCTTTGTTTTGCTGAGTCACACGCATGCACAGACCGGCACGGAGAGGACGTGAGCACGTATTGCGATCATGGGCACAGCGAGAGCCGACAAAGAACACACACACACACGCACACACACGCACACACACACGCACACACACACACACACACACAACCATGCACGCAAAAGTTGCAACGACCATCATGGCCACCAACCATCACCTCCATCACCATCATCTCACTCGTAGAGTTCATTTGCGAGCGTCTTTGCTTCGTCCTCTTTGATTGTTGGGTTGAACTGCATGATCAGGCCTTTCGCAAACGGCCGGCCTGCACCGTAGATGCGGCCTGTGGTGTTGGAGAGGGGCCGGTCATGCATTTGGGGTTTGGTGATTCAGGGTGGATGTGGTGTGAGGGAGGGTGGTGTGATGTTGTGGGTGTGGGAACGGGAGGACGTGACAATGATGCGTAACGCCGCGGCGGTGGTGAAGTGCGAGTGCAACATCAGAGGAAAGAGCAGATGGCAACTCACCATAGTTGAAGATCTTTGATCCGCCGGTGTGGCATCCCACGATTTCAGCCGTCTTGGTGTGCATGTCGGACTTGTCCTTCTTGCTCCTGCAACATCAAATAAACACGTGCAATTGCGAGCGTGCATGCATCAGGAGTTTGGCCGAAAAAAAAAAGAGCATGAAGCCATCAAGCCAATCGGTTCGGTTTGCATCGAACGATGGTTCACACGCACGCGCACACACTATTGCAATGCCTTCCACCTCAAAGCCTAAGACCACCACCAGTCTCTCACCCCTGGAGTGTCATCCACCCGAGCGCTGTTGATCCGTGAATGCCAGTGAAGCGTGCATCTCCAAGTACTGGCAGTGGCAGCACACAATCACGGTGAGAAGATGTGTCGTACACAAACTCTCGCAACCACACACACACATACCTCGCAACCACACACACACTCACGCACACACACACACACTCACGCACACACACACACACATACACACACACACATACACGCACACACACACGCACGCGCGAACCAACCGATCCAACACACCATCCACTCGCCACATGCTGCAATCACCACCAGCACCACCATCACCACGTACATGCTGCAATCCAGAGCTCTTGCGAGTCGACATCCGCGCCAACGAACTTGCAGCCAGGCGGCGCGCGCACCATCGCCTTGAGCTCCGAGCCGATGCGGTTTGGCTTAGGGTTGGACGCCGTCAGCCACGTGCTCTCTCGCGCGCGCCGTGAGATGGTCCCCATGGTCGTGATGAACGGCAGTATCACACCTGCATAATGTGTGTGTGTATGTATGTATGTATGTATGTATGCATGTATGTATGTATGTATGTATGCATGTATGTATGTATGTATGTATGTATGTATGTATGTATGTATGTATGTATGTATGTATGTATGTATGTATGTATGTATGTATGTATGTATGTATGTATGTATGTATGTATGTGTGGGTGCCCATGTATGCGTGCGCATGTGCACATGTACTGTGCAGATATACAGACCCCAACTATCGTACGCAGCAGGCCCTTGTCAACACGATATGACCCTGCTTGCATGCACGTGCGTACCTCGCGTATCGGCTGCTGCTGCATTGCCGTTCTTCCCATCTCCATCCTGCTCGTCGGCCCCGTTCGTGGTGGTGGCAGTCGAAGGCAAAGGAGGAGGAGTGATGCGATCTGTGCTCCATTCGCGCATGCTCGAGCCAACGAGATCCTGTTGTGTCGGTCGAGGAAGCGCGCACATGGACAAGGGAGGTAGGGGTTAAACACAATGCAAGCAAGCAGGATCACAAATGTGTGTGTGCAAACGTAGTTTGTGTGTGTGTGTGTGTGTGTGTGTGTGTGTGTGTGTGTGTGTGTGTGTGTGTGTGTGTGTGTCTGCTCAACATCTATGTGTGCGTGTGCGCAAACGTGTTTGTGCGAAGGTGTGCGTGTGAATGCGTGTTTCCGCTCAACATCAATGTGTGTGTGTGAATGTGTGCTGTCTGCACCTCCCAGACGACGAATTGCGAGAGAATTCTGTTGCGAGCAGAGCTCCAGTAACTGCACGCGCTCATGGCAGACAGAACCTGAGCAGCCTGGGTGCGATGGAAATTGGGCAGGGGGTTGTGAGTAAGGCGTGGCGAGACACAAAGAAAGTGAGAAAACGCTTTTGTGTACACACACACACACACACACACACACACACACACACACACACACACACACACACACACACACACACACACACACAGGGTGTGCACGCACCTCCTCAGAGTGCGACTTGAGACGGCCATCCTCCACGAGCGCCATGTACTCCTTTGCAAACGGCGACCCGCACCGAGCCTTGTCACCATCCTTATGTGGCAGCTTGAAATACGCGTGTGTCAGGTGCATCATGTCGTTGGGCGACTTCCAATCGTGAGGGCCGTTGCCCTCGTGTGATCCTGACAGCCGTGCCAACAATGGCGGTGGTGGTCGTGATGATGAGGATGGTCGTTGCGGTGATGGTGGAGGTTGCGGGTGGTGCACACGACCAATTGCGAGAAGAAGGTCAGGGGGCATTCGCTGACGGCCACCACGTTCAGAACTAAGATGAGCCCACACAAGCCCATGTCAACATGTCCCTTCTCCCTCTTCATGTGCATGTGCATGTTTATGTGAATGTTCATGTTCATGTGCATGTTCATGTGCCATCACCACCTGCGAGTCTGCGAGGAACAAGATATCCCCATTTGTGCTGCTCGTGGTAATACAGCGGGAACGACTCCCCCGTTCGCTGCACAGGAGCGGCGATGGTGATGTGGTGTTGATGATGGGTTGCAGTGAGGTCGGGTAGGAAGGCACGTACGGGAACGCACATATCAAGCCAGTACGTCAACCAGGCAAACACACACACACACGCACACACACACACACACACACACACACACACTGGCACCACTGCCTGCACCTCTACGTCGACGTATTTGAGGCGGTAGAGGTATGGCGCAATGGTCTTGCGCGGTGTCACCTCAATGCCGCCATCCTGCATCGTCCCTGCGGTGTGTGTGTGTGTGTGTGTGTGTGTGTGTGTGTGTGTGTGTGTGTGTGTGTGTGTGTG